CATACTTATATATATATAAACTACTTGACCAAATACACTTAAACTCCAATACATGCCTATCTCTTGGTTATGTTATTAGAAAAATTAATATATAGACTATTCTTTGGATCAAATACAATATCTCATTTAACTATATTTTAACTATCTAAATCTAGATAAGTCTTGATTACTCTAATAGATTTAGGCTGCAGATAAATATGTCTGAGCTTTACTCTTGAATATAGTTTTCTTCTTATTTATACTTAAGTTAGTTATATATAGTTAGCAGTTTAATGGTTAGCTCTAACTGCAAATGTTAGCCTCAGCCATAGCATTTATATAGAATTATTTTTGTATATAGTAACTCTATAAAGTTACTAACCTTAAAAACTATTAATAAAGATATGAGCAAGGTCTCACCTTAATACCAAAAATATATATATATATATAATAAATTATTTTGGTTAAGAAACTTAATAATACTAAATCTTGATATATGACTTTATCATAAGATTCTAATCTTCTAACATAATGATCATATACAAATCTAGAAATATTAGTCAAATAAGGATAAATTCTTAAATAGTATAAACTATGGCTTAAATGAAATATGATAAATAAATTTTATTAGTAATACAAATTAATATAAAACATAATGAATTTCAAAGGTAACTCTAATCAATAGATTAATTAATTTCAGTTAGTAAAAAAAGTAATATAGTTTAAAAAAGTATAGATACAACATTGTAGTAGCATTAATACAATAAATACTAAAAGTTATAAAAAGTGACTATAGAATGAATTGTGACAATGCATAGAAGTAGTCAGTAAATTTTTGAATCAAATATTAGATATCACCAACCTTATTATATTACATTCTAAACTGCACTCTATATTTTTTTAGAATAAATAGTAAAAAAAGAGATATAATATGTTCTAAAAAAGTATAAAATGTGGCTTTCAAATATAAAAATTTGCATATAAAAAAGATATGATTATAAAATGAAAATGTTGCAGAATGAAAACCTGTTACTAATCATAATAAATTTTTAAGTAAAATTATAGGCAGGTTTTTATTCTATAATACTTAAATGTTATAAAATAAAAAAAAAAGGTAAAATAAAAAAATTTATTGTAATACCTCAAAGCCCCAAGATGAAATAGTATACTAAATCAAGAAAAAGTAGTCTGAGTATAAAAAATTTTATAAATGTACCTAGAATATAAAAAGAGAAGTATTAAAAATAATAGCAGATTAGAAATAATTTGATAATAATACTATTGTCTTCAAACATCTGCTCCAAAAGTATAATAAATTATAATCATTTTTGAATATTGTAATACTTCATTTTGTAATAATTCTTTATTCTTTGTGTTCTTTGTGCTCTTTCTTCAATTTTCATTTTAATCATCTTCAGATTGAATATTATATAAAATAATCATGCCAACAAATCTTTTAATAATCAATTGTTTTTTTTTGTTAAAAATTATGCTTCTACCTCTTTCTGAAATATATAATATACCAATAAACTTTACCAGAGTGTATAAAAATTTGCAAATTTACAAGGCTATGTATTAGTTAAAAAAGAACTTTAAAAGATAAGCATAATGAATTAAAAAATATGACTCTACATTGTGACTGAGGTAGTGTTTATAGTAACTCTTTTAGTTCATCTGAAAAAACACATAGTAGACAAAAAGCATTAGATTAATAGACTGTCCTTTTGAATTGTATGCTGCTTGACACAATGGCTTATAGCATTTAGAAGTTTATAATGCTATACATAATCATAGTTCTTCAAATAATATATCAGAGCATACTATCATTTATTAACTCTCAGAGCAATAGATAGAAAATATTGCATTAATGACTACTGCTAGCTCAAGTCCTCATGAAATTGTTCAACATTTTGACAAAATAATCTATCAGCACTAATCATTAGCAGTGATATTTATAATGCATATACAAGACTTTAACAACAAAATCTAGCTGGCTGAACTCCTATTTAAGCATTAGTAGATAAGCTTCAAGAAGGTGATTTTTTATTTGAGTACAAATGTAATAACACTGACTCTGTAAGCTACTTGTTTTTTGTATATAAAGAATCAATTTCTCTTATTTATCAATATCTCACAATAATTCTTATTGATTGTATCTACAAAACCAATAAATTTAAAATGTCATTATTAAATATTGTAGGTATAACCAGTTTCAATATTATCTTTTATATTTGTTTTGTATTTATAAAAAGTGAAGAGGAAGCAGATTACAATTAGGCTCTAATACATGTTTTAAAATTGTTTGATGAGATAAAAAAATCTGCAGTCATTGTAACTAATAGAGAACTAGTTCTTATGAAAGCACTCAGTATGATCATGTCTAATTTAATAAATATACTTTGTGTATGGCATATTAGTAAGAATATTTTAAAAAATTGTAAACCATATTTTTCAAAAAAAACAGAAAACAAATAACAAGATTTTCTTGCAAGATAGAATGATATTATTTAATCGAATACAGAAAATGAATTTGATAAAAAATGGAGTAATTTCTGTACTATTTACATTAATAAACTCAGCATAATATCTTATATCCAGAGAACCTAGATATCATGAAAGGAATGATTTATAAAAGCTTGGACAAATGCATTACTTCATCTAAATAGTATTACAAATCTAAATATCAAATTTTTTTTAAACTATTGAAAAATTAATTTATTAATTGGTTGCAACTAATCAATTAACCAATTAGTTGCAACCAATTAATAAATTAATTTTTCAATTAATTAGCAATTAATTCTATAATTGATTAGTTACAACTAATTGATTTTTCTAATTTTTAACTTATAATACTACACCTAGAAACAACTACAACTTCATGCATTAAAGGTTCATATGCAACCCTAAAATCATATTTGTAGGCATCTATGAAAGGCCTTCATTATGTTTATACAAAAATATTCTTGATAGTAACCAACCAAAAAAAAGAGTTCAATGCTATAATTGCATTAGAACATATTTGCATTTCAGTTTTTGCTACTAACAATTCTTTTATACAAATATTAGAATAAAGTATTATACTTCATACTCAAAAAGATAAATAAGCAGTATCAGAAAGCAAAATATGCTACTGCCCAAGAGCCCTTACCACCATGCATTGGAACTTTTTCAAAAACATTGAGGCTATTATGTGCCTATTTTATTCAATATTTAGATAATTAAAGCCTAATTCTTAATAAAATCCATAAGCATTAGTAGATCCTAGGAAGCTTACCAGTGACACAAATTAATAAAAGTAGTTCTTATCAGAAAGATCCACTACAACTGTTTTTACAAGATCTACAACAAAAGTATCAAAAATGATCAGAGTTTTAGCAATTAGCAATATGAGATGTATTAAAAAATATAATAGATAAACTAGTAATGACTTTACAAAATCTAAAAATAGTTCATACCAAAGAACATCCTTCTGGAGCTCTTAATAAATAATAAGCTAATTCTACTAGAAGAGACTCTTTTAGTTTTGAATTAGTAGATAATAAAGTAAAACATTATACTATTTGCTGACAACCTGGATATAATGCTTGCACTTGCATAAATATAAATAACTCAGTATAAGAAAAAATTGTTAGTTTTTTAGTTTGATATAAATGCAAAATTTCAAAAATAAAAATTATTTTCATTATAAATTAAATCTGTAAAATGAAATTTTAAGTTTATAACACTTAATCTTTATTAATTTTTGAGTACATGGATTTAAACACAAGCAAAACATAAAACACTTTTACTATAGATCAATAAAACAGTTGAATTATGCCTCCTGGCATTCCTTTTATAGGGTTTTAAAAAAAAATAAAACAGTTAATTTATTTAAGTTCATAATACTTGCACAAACTTTATAAAAAAGTTTTTAGTTATAGGTGAGTTATTAATACAATAAACTATTACAACTAATCTGTTGAATAGTTGAATCTAATAAAGTCATTGAATAAAATACTTGAAAATATGTAGACAATCATTTAATAAAATACTTGGAAATAGACAATTGTTAAATATCTAATCTGATTTGATGCTTATATATCATGTAACATTATTGATCAATTGAATTTCAGATAGCTGATAATTGTTTTATATGAATATATAAACATCAGAAATTTATGTTATAGGGAGTACAAATAATAAATCCAGATGTATAAAAAATAATTTTCTAAAAAAATCTTTAGTAGCTTAACAATAAAATTTATTTAAATAATTAAATAAAAAAATCTTGGGTTTTGTACCAAAGTAATATTAATTTATTTAATAATTTAATAAAAATCTTAAAGGTTTTTTACATAAATAAATACTTCTAAAGAAAATAATATTTTAAACTAATTATAAGTTCAAAAGCCTGAAATCTAGTTTTCTTATAAAAATATTTAAATACAACATAAAATTATAATTTTTTTTTATAGACTCATGCTGTACTTAATAGCTACATACAAATATTTTACTAACCAACATAACTTAGGCACATTTCTTTATATAAGTCATAATAGTTACATGTAAATATTTAATTTAATATGACTTCTTTATATTACCAAATGCTGTGTTTAATAATTATAATATACGCAGATAATTTCATTTACCATCATGACTTAGGTACTTTTTTTATATAAGTCACATGCTAAATTTAAAGTGAGATATGTCATATACTTCTAAGCAAAAGTTAAATTTAAGGTGCAATATGTCATATACTTCTAAGTGACAGTAAATAAAAGTTAAATTTAAAGTGCAATGTCATATACTATTAATTGACAATTTCAATATTGATCAATTGAATGTCTAGGAATTTTTTTGCTTTATGGTCTTATCCAACATCCCGAATTTTTTCTCACCTAAAGTTTCTCCGCTATGCTCCGGAAATTATAAATAAATTGGCTTAAACAATAAGTCTTAAATTGAAAATAATCCATATTAATAAAATTTCTTATGAAAAGATTTACACATATACAGTAAATCATCTTTCTTCTAAAAACAAATCAACAGTCATCAGGAACTTCTGCGTCCACAGGTATGCTGACTAGTGCTAGCTCATCCACGATCTCTTGAGTGTTGATAAATTTTGAAGTGTATATGTGAGCCGGGTGTTTGTTTGTTTTAGGGTTAATCTTAATTTTATCAGCTTCTAAGAATTGCTTTTTAATCTCGTTTTCATCTAAATTTTCTATACTTTCAATCCATTTATCAACTGTATTTAAAATATTGTCAGCTGTAGGTCGTTTTTGTGGATTGGAATCCATACATTGCTTCGCTAATTGCTTATAACAATCTGGAGTACCAGCAACAAACTCGGGCCGCAAACCACAACAAATCTTTACCGCTAATTTATTATCAAATTTATAACCATCAAAAGATCTCTGTCCAGTTGAGACCTCGGTCATTATTACTCCAAAAGCGTAAATATCAGCTGCTTGAGTGATCGGTTTTCGTTGCAGGACTTCTGGCGCAACAAAAGGGATAACTCCATAGATACCATCATTTTGATTTTTATTAATTAATATCGAAAGTCCTAAATCAGCAATATATGCCGTATTTAAATTATCATGTAAAATATTTCCGCTATGTAAATCTCGATGAATAAATCCTTTACAATGAAGTATTTTAAGATTTAAAGCAATACATCGTAGCAGATTTAGCTTGATTTTCCATTTTAATTGAACTATAGCATAAAGATGATTATTAAAAGATCCTAAACGTGCATACTCTAAAATAAGAATATAATTATTGGTTATTTTATCTCTTGAAATTCCATGAAGATATAAAAATGAACCGATATTTTCATTTCCTATTTCATAATAAGCCCTAAGCTTAAGCAAAAAAATATATATATATATATCAAAATATATTTAAAAAACGTTAAATTTATTACAGTATAAAAACCAACCTCATTAAGGAATTCCTGATTATAATTATGTGAATGTTTGATCATTTTAAGTGCAAGTGTTCCATGCAAATGTAATTTTGCTTTATATACAGTAGCAAATCCACCTTCACCAATTTTTTCAATATTTTCGAAATTATCATAAGGAATAAAATTGAAAATTCCTTCGATTCCTTTATAACAATTATCAACCATATTTATTCCTTTATCATGACCCATGTCGGCAGCTTTCTGAAAATAATCGATGGCTTTTAAATCGTTCTTTTCGACTCCGATTCCATTTTTATAACAGATACCAACATTATACGTTCCACTAGCGTGTCCCATTTCTGCTGATTTTTGATAATAAATGAATGCCTTGAGTTCGTCCTTTTTGATTCCGATTTGATTTTCATAACAGTATGCTGCCTTATAATAATATTCGCCTGCCTTGATTTTGTCTTTCTCGATTCCGATTCCATTTTCATAATAATATGCTGCCTTATAATAATATTCACCTGCTTTGATTTTGTCTTTCTCGATCCCGATTCCATTTTCATAATAATATACTGCATTATAATAATATTCGCCCGCTTTAACTTCGTCTTTCTCAATTCCGATTCCATTTTCATAACATATACCAACATTATATGTTCCACCAATATGTCCCATTTCTGCTGATTTTTGATAATAAATGAATGCCTTGTGTTCGTCCTTTTTGATTCCGATTTCATTTTCATAACAATATGCTGCCTTATAATAATATTCACCCGCTTTGATTTTGTCTTTCTCGATTCCGATTCCATTTTCATAATAATATGCTGCTTTATAATAATATTCGCCAGCTTTGATTTTGTCTTTTTCGATTCCGATTCCATTTTCATAACCTAAACCAACATTATATGTTCCACCAATATGTCCCATCCCTGCTGATTTTTGATAATATATGAATGCCTTGCATTCGTCCTTTTTGACTCCAATTCCATTTTCATAACAATATGCTGCTTTATAATAACATTCTCCCGCTTTGATTTTGTCTTTCTCGATTCCGATTCCGTTTTCATAACAGCTACCAACATTATATGTTCCACTAGCGTGTCCCATCTCTGCTGATTTTTGATAATAGATGAATGCCTTGTGTTCGCTCTTTTGGACTCCGATTCCATTTTCAAAACAATATGCTGCCTTATTATAATATTCGCCCGCTTTGATTTTGTCTTCCTCGATTCCGATTCCATTTTCATAACAGATACAAACATTATATGTTCCACTAGCATTTCCCATTTCTGCTGATTTTTGATAATATATGAATGCCTTGCATTCGTCCTTTTTGACCCCGATTCCATTTTCATAACAATATGCTGCCTTATAATAATATTCGCTCGCTTTGATTTTGTCTTTCTTAATTTCAATTCCATTTTCATAACAGAAACCAACAATATATGTTCCATCAGCGTGTCCCATCTCTGCTGACTTTTGAAAATAGATAAATGCCTTATGGTCGTCCCTTTTTACTCCGATTCCATCTCCATAACAGACACCAACATTATATGTTCCATAAGCGTGTCCCATCTCTGCTGATTTTTGATAATAGATAAATGCCTTGTGTTCGTCCTTTTTGACTTCGATTCCATTTTCATAACGATATGCTGTTTTATAATAATATTCGCCCGCTTTAAGTTTGTCTTTCTCGATTCCGATTCCATTTTCATAACAGATACCAACATTATATGTTCCACCAATATGTCCCATCTCTGATGATTTTTGATAATATATGAATGCCTTGTGTTCATCCTTTTTGACTTCGATTCCATTTTCATAACGATATGCTGCTTTATAATAATATTCTCCCGCTTTGATTTTGTCTTTCCCGGTTCCGATTCCATATTCATAACAGCTACCAACATTATATGTTCCACTAGCGTGTCCCATTTCTGCTGATTTTTGATAATAGATGAATGCCTTGTGTTCGTCCTTTTTGACTCCGATTCCATTTTCAAAACAATATGCTGCCTTATAATAATATTCGCCCGCTTTGATTTTGTCTTTCTCGATTCCGATTCCATTTTCATAACAGATACCTACATTATATGTTCCATTAGCGTTTCCCATTTCTGCTGATTTTTGATAACAGATGAATGTCTTGTGGTCGTCCTTTTTGACTCCGATTCCATTTTTATAACAATATGCTGCTTTTTTATAATATTCGCCCGCTTCGATTTTGTCTTTCTCGATTCCGATTCCATTTTCATAACACATACCAACATTATATGTTCCACCAATATGTCCCATCTCTGATGATTTTTGATAATACATGAATGCCTTGCATTCGTCCTTTTTGACTCCGATTCCATTTTCATAACAGATACCAACATTATATGTTCCCCTAGTGTGTCCCATTTCTGCTGATTTTTTATAATAGATGAATATCTTGTATTCGTCCTTTTTGACTCTGATCCCATTTTCAAAACAATATGCTGCCTTATAACAATATTCGCCCGCTTTGATTTTGTCTTTCTTGATTCCGATTCCATTTTCATAACAATATGCTGCTTTACAATAAAATTCTCCCGCTTTGATTTTGTCTTTCTCGATTCCGATTCCATTTTCATAACATCTACCAACATTATATGATCCAATAGCGTGTCCCATTTCTTCTGATTTTTGATAATAGATGAATGTCTTGTGGTCGTCCTTTTTGACTCCGATTCCATTTTCATAATAATATGCTGCCTTATAATAATATTCGCCCGCTTTGATTTTGTCTTTCTCGATTCCAATTCCATTTTCATAACAGATACCAACATTATATGTCCCACTAACGTTTCCCATTTCTGCTGATTTTTGATAATAGATAAATTTCTTGTGTTCGTCCTTTTTGACCCCGATTCCATTTTCAAAACAATATGCTGCCTTATAATAATATTCGCCCGCTTTGATTTTGTCTTTCTTGATTCCGATTCCATTTTCATAACACATACCAACATTATATAATCCAATAGCGTGTCCCATCTCTTCTGATTTTTGATAATAGATGAATGTCTTGTGGTCGTCCTTTTTGACTCCGATTCCATTTTCATAACAATATGCCGCTTTATAATAAAATTCTCCCGCTTTGATTTTGTCTTTCTCGATTCCGATTCCATTTTCATAACATCTACCAACATTATATGATCCAATAGCGTGTCCCATTTCTTCTGATTTTTGATAATAGATGAATGTCTTGTGGTCGTCCTTTTTGACCCCGATTCCATTTTCATAACAATATGCTGCCTTATAATAATATTCGCCCGCTTTGATTTTGTCTTTCTCGATTCCGATTCCATTTTCATAACAGATACCAATATTATATGTTCTATCGGCGTGTCCCATCTCTGCTGATTTTTGAAAATAGATGAATGCCTTGTGGCCGTCTTTTTTGACTCCAATTCCATTTTTATAACAGATACCAACATTATATGTTCCATTAGCGTGTCCCATCTCTGCTGATTTTTGATAATAGATGAATGCTTTATGTTCATCCTTTTCAACTCCGATTCCATTTTCATAACATCTACCAACATTATATGTTCCACTAGTGTGTCCCATCTCTGCTGATTTTTGAAAATAGATGAATGCTTTGTGTTCATCTTTTTTGACACCAATTCCATCTTCGTAACAAAATGCTTCCTTATAATAATCTTTGCCTGCCTGGTTCAGGTTATTTGACATATTAAAAACAAGATGCCGATTTAAATCATTAAATGCAATTGTACCAATATTTAAAGTTTTGTATATTGTGTGATACAACTTTTTGTGGCAACAAATTGCCATGGCAGTTTCTCGAGCATAGAGCAAGTTCGATTTTATTGGTTAAAAAAAAGATCGTCATTTACATTGATAAATTTACAGTACTGTCAGAGGTAAAACCGACACCCCCAAAGAACCTGCGAAGTGATCGTCATAGTGGCATACTTACCAAATTGGTGGTGCCCATGACGATCCACTTGAAACATGTGCGCCCGGCCTCAGGAAAGCCATATAATAGCACACAAGCCTCCATGCGGGACCCTACCACCCCCCTCCAATTAAAGAAAGGTCGACCTGGATCAACCTGTTCATGCTGGGAATGGACGTTTACTCGACCCACCCTACTTGGGTTAGGTGTGAGGCGATGTCAAGGGGGATGGATATCCTTATGTCCAGAAAATTCTGAGCTGCCGGCCAAAAGAATATGGGTCGTAGTATCTCAAAGATTCATTATATTTCTAACATTAACAATTGTGTCTTATAAGTAAAATTTCATTCATAAAACTTTTACTTAGAGGTCGGAAGTTGGTTATCATAGTAAATTTTTGTGTTATTTACGTTTTTTTTTTTACAATTTCTTATGTTTTTCGCGTTTGTTTTGTTACACAAGATCCTGTGATTTTATTGGATCCGGATAGGGTCGGAAGTGATCTTCAGCCCGAGATTTTCTGGACATAAGGGTACCCAAGGGGATGCGATGTAGACAATCTGACGGGTTCTGGCCTCCAGGATAGTAAAACTGAAATATTCTCATCGGTTCTATGGCAACTGTGAGAAATGTTAAAGTAATGAAAGGCTGTGTAAAAAGTGTTAAAGGTTAGGACAAAAAAAAGGTTGAAAAATGATAGGAACAATGAGAAGTGGTCTTGTGCATTTTCTTCTCATGGTCAATTCATTATAAAAAAAATGGAATTTTTTTTTTTAAAAAATAGTTCAGAATAGTTCAAGTCAGAGTAGTCCTCAAGTCCAATAAGTTCTTATATAAAAAGAATAATAAAATTTATTAATAAAACCCTTTTGAACTACTAATACAATAATGCTTCTTAAAAATCATAGTGCTTATCTTATAATGTTCTTTAAAAGATTACCTTGATCTTATGTCAAATCATAAAACTGCCTTTATTATTTTTAAGAAACATTATGTAACATAATTATTTTTCAAGTAACAATCTGTTACATTTGTTCCATCTTTAAACTTGACTATAAAACTCATCACAGTATATTTAATTAAATAATTTAATTAATTATCTAAAAATTCTATAATCTTTGAATTTTCAGTA